CCCCGGCCGCGGGTGCAGCTCATCCGTGCCCCGCAGCCCCCGTGCCGGGGCCCTCACCCCGGCCGCCCTCGGCCGTCCCCCCGGGCAGGAGCTGGACCTGGAAGTTTGTTTTCCCTTTCAGGTTTCGCCGTGGACTTTAAGGACAGTCCTAGGGCGTGTTGGAGAAGGGGTGACGGGCCTGGTCCTCGGTGGAGGGGGGGGCGGGATCCCTAGCAGGGCTCAGTGCTCCCTGCTCTGCCACCCCCCAGGGGCGTGGCCCATGCCGCCTCCTAAGGACAGCAGATGGCCTCACGAATCTGCGGACTCTGGATAGACCTGGGTCCCCACTGCCAGGCTGGAACGCATGCGCACAGGGGCGAAGGAAGGAAGGGTCCCCGTCTTCCCAGAGCAGGTGTGGCTTCCGTGAAGTCGGAGGCGGGGGTGTCTGTGGGTGGGGGAGCTGTAGTCTAGAATCTGAGCGTAAAAGATAAGGATGCGCGGGCTGGGAATGTGGCTCAGTGGTAGAGCGCTTGCCTTGCATGCCAGAGGCCCTGGGTTCGATTCCTCAGCACCACATAAGCAAAAAGAAAAAAGCCGGAAGTGGCGCTGTGGCTCAAGTGGTAGAGCGCTAGCCTTGAGCTGAAGAGCTGAGGGACAGCGCCCAGGCCCAGAGTTCAGGCCCCACGACCGGACCCAAAAAAAAAAAAAAAAAAGATAAGGATGCGCGTCAAAGGTCAAGATGGGTTGTAGGAAGTGGCGCTGGGGCTCAGCCTTGAGCTGAAGAGCTGAGGGACAGCGCCCAGGCCCAGAGTTCAAGACCCATGACCGACAAAAAGGAAAAAAGATGGGTTGTGCACCTTTTTCTAGTGAGCCTGAAGTTTTCCACAATCCTTGTAAGTAGTTTCTGTAAACATTATGCCCACCTTGGGTCCTCAGCTCCACTCAGACCTGAGCTCCCGCCCTGCAGTTCCTGCCATGCAGCCGGCTCCTCTCTCCCTCTGCCCAGACCCACCTGAGTTCCCATCTACCTCACTTCCTACCCCCAGACCCTGCTGCTGCCTAGATAGTGAAGGCCGCCACGTGCTCTCTCTCTATGGGGCAGATATGGCTCCTCTAATAAATCTTGTAATACTCTTTCTCCTGTGCCTGCTGCCTCTGTGTGGTCCCCTGGCATCGGTGTGACAGACCCTTTCACAGATCCTTTCAGTCTCCACTTGAGCGAGCTCAGTTCTTCCTGAAGGATGGAGCGGGATGAACTGGCAGCCAGAAGCATATAGGGGACTGCATGGATTGGTAAAGAGGAAGAATTTAGCCGGGCGCCCGTGGCTCACACCTGTTATCCTAGCTACCCAGGAGGCTGAGATCTGAGTCCAAGAGACCCTTATCTCCAAGAAAACCAGAAATGGCACTGTGGCTCAAGTGGTAGAGCACTGGCCTTGAGCTGAAGAGCTGTGATAGCACCCAGGCCCAGAGTTCAAGCCCCACCACTGACAAAAAGAGAGAGAGAGAGAAGGAATGGGGGGGGGGCTCTCCAGGAAGACACCTTTTGTTTTCCCAGAGCACAGGCCACCTGATGACCCGTGTGGCAAAGCAGGGCCAAGTGTGGGAAGGATCACAGGCCTGCCAGCGGCAAGCATGCTGTGGGCAGGCTCTGGCTCTGCTAGGGCCTCTCCATGAGTCCCCAGGCAGGGGCGGTGACTAAATCTGCCCCTGGTGAAAGCCCAGGGCTTTGTTTTCAGCATATTTACAACAGGCTTCATCCTTGAAGAAAGCCCTGGGCAGGAGGGCGCTCAGTGTGGGAATGCTTGCCACGTGCCCCCCTCCCCGGCAATGGGACCGTTTTAAATGATGAAACCCAAGGCCCAGGAGTGTGGGGTGCAGAAACACAGTGGGTGAATGAAGCACTCCAAGTCACACTGGGCTTGCTACTAAGAGCTGTGTCCGTAGTCATCCGATCTACATTCCAGAACCTTCTCTCATTTTTTAGGGACTCTCAGCCCCTGA